CTGCACCCGGCCACTGCCCCTCCTGGGGAGCGCGACCTGCCTGCCCTTGGCACTGGCGTGAGCCCCGCTCGCCTGCCCTCGTCTTCGGGGCCGGGATCCAGCTTTGTGCCAGTCCTGCTCCCAGCTTGTGCGGGGCAGCCCCTCTGATCGCCCTGCTTAGTCGCTGCCCTCTAATATTGTCCCCTGATGCCAGGTGCCTCTGCCCCCCCCCCGTCCTGTTTTCCGGGTTGCCGGCAGCCCCTCTGATCGCCCTGCTTAGTCGCTGCCCTCTAATATTGTCCCCTGATGCCAGGTGCCTCTGCCCCCCCCCGTCCTGTTGTCCGGGTTGCCCCTCCTGGACCAGGAGCAGGCAGCGGGGCCGAAGGGGGCTGCTGCATCGCAGCCCCCCCGCATGACACCTCTAGGCCATGCCGGCGGCGATTGCAGCGGCTCCGCAGAGAGATGATGTTTCGAAGGGTTGTGCAGTCGCCGCTGCCTCTCGAGAGAACTACTCTCTGTCCCTTTTTGTCGCCTCCACCTCCTGCCCCGTGTTATGCTTCCAAAATCTGCTCCTCTGCTAAGGGCAGGGCCCAGCCCTGAGTTTCCAGATCACCTTTCCTGGCAGGAAAGCCTTTGGCAAGGGACGGGTCCGCGTGCTGGGAAGCGTAGGAAGCTAGCACGAAACGTTTTAAGCAAAAGGGAGGGCGGAAGGGGAAATAGAGGGTGAGGCAAAGGTCTGTTTTATGAGGGCGCCACAGAGAGGTGCCAGGGAGGTCAGTTCCCTGCATGCCCCGCGCTCACCCATAAAGATAAGCTGCTCTGCCATCTCTGCGCAGCACCACGCCTAAATCCACAGTGCCCGCCGCTGCGGCTCTTAACCCTTCACAGCCTCCAGTGAAGACTGGGTGAGCCAGGGGGGCGGGGGTGACAAATCTCTTTTGGCTTTTGGTCCTAGGGTGCAGGAAGACTGAAGTTGCCTGCCTGTTTGCTCCCGGAGACTTGGCCAGTGTTTTAGGGTGCTGGATTTTCTACCTTCTCAAAGCCCTTATTCCCACAGGCCTGGGGGGTGTCTTGAATATACAAGTGCCACAATCTTGTCCACCCCAGGTCTCTTGAATATACATCCCTACCCCCTTAGGGCCACAAAAGTTGGTCCCCATTAGGCTCTGCAGTTTAGATTAGCTTCCAAGTGTCTGCATTTTGGGGATAAGGAGTTGTCTGGGACTTGGGGTGCTGATCAGACCCGACACCCTTGAATTCATCGCTGCTGCTAGGGTGGGTGCTTCTGCATGTGTGCGTGTTTGCAGTTACTGTTGATGTGTTGCCTGTCCGGGTGGGTGGGATGTACCGGGCAGTCCTAAGGGAGCGACAGGAGTTTTGACTTCTGTCCCTTTGTGGATTGGAAAAAAGGAGGGTAAGGAGAGCGTTCAGCATTCAGACCTGTGATGTTCTGAAGAAAAAGAAATTGAAAGTGAAAGGTTTCCCATCAGCAGAGAAAAAGGAACAAGTCCGGCTGAGACTCACTTCCTGATAGGGTTTTGCAAAAGGTAAATATGAAAAGGCTCGTGATACAGCTGTTTTCAGGAACTGGGGCTTTTAAGAAAATGATGGCTGGAAATTTTTCGCAGGCAGGAACCTAGCGTGCATGGGAAGACTGCTCCATTGCTGGCAGAAGGGCGTCAACGATGAGAGCACTTGGACTGGCATTGAACCGTTTGGTTGCAGTGTGGACCAAGTGTTCCCGATTGGGTTAGGATCTGAGATTATGACTTACGCTGAGTAAACTGCACCTCTCGTTAGCGATGTGTTACTCTTCACGGGTAACCAGGACAGGTCCATTGGCCATCTAGGCGTTCTCCCGCCTTGCACCTGAGAACAGAATGATTCGGCCCTTTGATCTCTTGAAATCTTAAGAATATTTAATTCAATTTGGGATTTCAACTCAAAGTATTATTAAAGTGTTCTGCATACTCTAAAACATGTTCAGACATGAAGACACAATATTAGTATTTACCAAATGCTAATTGTGTGCTTTCTTTGCCGGGGGCCTGAGCCCTGCCACAGGGAATGTGGGGACGGGGTGCGTGTGTGTGGTACCTGGGAGGCTATACCAACATGAGTTTAGGTGAACTTGTATTGCTAGTAATACATTCCCTCTGAGGATGCTCTTGTTTTGGGATGAGATTGAATCATTCCAGTTTAGTAAATGAATATCCCTTGGGGAGTTATACTGGTATAACAGTAGTGTTATACTAGCGTAAGGTTTGCCACTCTTGTGCAATTGGATCTAAAACACTTTTATTTTTCAGTCACAATTAATGCTTGGACTTTACTGTTCACAGATCTCAACAGCTGTGTATAAGGGAAGGTCCGTATTCTCCCCATTTTGCAGGTGGGAAAGCTGAGTGTCGCAGGGCACTAAGGTGCCTGCTCCTATAAGAGCAGAAGCTGCCTAGGGAGAGGGCCCTAAGAGCCAGACAGGAGCCCACAGGTGCAGGTTACTTTGGCAACAGGCTAACGAGTCAATTAGCTTATACCTGCACCTGGTCAGCTGACAGGAAGAGGCAGGGCCCTGGGCAAATATAAACCCCAAGGCTGGGACCAGAGGGTGAGTTCTCTGGCAGCAGCTAAGGGGAAGGAGTCTCCAGGGAAGAATTGCCCAGGGACGGCCTGATATGCTGCATACTAGGCTAATGGGGCTCCAGGAGCTCAACAGGTACCATAGCCTACAAAGCACTTAGTGCTGGGGAAAATTGGACTTTTAAAGGGACAGAGCACACCCTGAACTGCTTGTAGTATGTTTAAGTTGCTGTTTATAAATACCAGAGGACTGGGCTGAGGCTCCCCTCGTTTCGTGTGTACCCTATTAGCAAATCTTAAAGGCTGGCCAGCCTTTACATTTGCTAATGCCATCCAGAGCCCAAATACATCAAAGTACCTTCCAAGCAGAAGCTAAAGATGCTTATGTGGGTGTAGAAACAGGTTGTGGGGGCCGGGATCAGAGAGGCTATCCCTTTGTCGGTACGTTGGCAGTTGTCTCAGTGCCTGACCCTTCTGCATCACAGGCAGCCAAGAGGGAGATGGTGATTGCAGCTGGCTGAGTCCATGGGATGGATGAAGCCAGCTGCCTATTCAGAGGCTCATGTCAAGTGTCGAATGCTCTTGTCCTGACCCTCTCCGTGTGGTCTGGAGGCTGGTTTCTTTTCCTGACTTGGCTACAGGCTCCTCTGTGACCCCAGTGACTTCTTCTTTTTTTTTTTTTTTTTCTGTGCCTGCATTTCTCCTTTGTCTGCAAACACTCTGAGCCCTGCATGCGAAGAACTGGATCAACCTTCATGCTTGTGAGCCCATCTAGGACTGTCTGGTGCTCTCGTCCCAGTGGATGCTGGTGGGAGGGTTGGAGAGTAGCTTCCCCCCATTGAGGCAATTTTGGGGAATTTGGGGTTCCAATTCCTTACTTAGCAGGAGTCTCCATCTCCAGAGCAGAAAGCAGGACAGCAGTCTCTGGGAAGCATAAAAAGTAATCAAGGGTCAGAGGGATCAGTCCTTCTTGCAAGCCATACCTCAGTCCCCTGGCTTCAGTAGGCAGGGGAGAAGAGAAGGCCTGTGGCTTGGTTAAGCTCTTGGAAAGAATCCCATTAGGAGAACACATGGATCAAATTCTAACCATGCTGCCTGGGCATGTTTGAGGTTGGGGAGAGGAAAAGAAAGTTCATTGCCCCCACGTGCACAGTGTAAACCTTCCAGTCCTGCAGCTCCGTGGAGCAGCTTAGCGAGATCTGGCGGATGCCAATTCTTGTTGGAGCCAACTGCATGGTTGGGACCATCCCAGCTGTGCCTTTGGTCCAGTAAACTCTTGCCTTTGCAATATTTCCTGAACCATCTTGGCAACAACATCTCTTCAAGGCTGAGGAACAGCTTTACATTTTAATGATGGATATGCAAATGAGCAAACTTTGCATTTCTATGAACCCTCATTCCCACCTCGTTTAGATGAATGGGGACTGGTTCTGCAAGAGGGGTCAGTCCTCTCTTACCTTGAGCAGTCCAATCCAACCCAACCCCCCTGTTTTCACATGGGAAACCAATCCAGGCTGGTTTATACATGGCAACCAAAAAAGATTGTTACCTGTGTTACAACTTAAAACCGTGAAGGGGACGTTGTGGCTCAATGGATCATCAAAAATCCATGGCTCCATATCCCTGCTTTTTGCATGTGGGGATAATCCCAGCCTTGCAAGGCAGGGCGATTAAACACCTGTGGATATGCACAGTGTCAGGATTAGACTTGCATGTGCCCTAAATATTTAGGTGTGGGTTTAGGGCGTTGTGAGGTTTGGGCGTGTTTAGGTCTGTGGTTTTTTACTTTAAGGGTCTGAATGAGGATTAATAGCCTCTCGGTAAAGCAAAATGGGGAGTTAAGAAAGCTGCAGCGGGCAAACCATCTGGGTGATTGAGGAGACGCCAGCTTGGGGGATTGCCACGACCATCTCCGCGCTACCAAGCTGAGTCATTTGCAAGTCATTCAACTTAGTCACACCGGACTGTTTTAGAAGCTGCTGCAGAATTTCCTGTGTCGGCATTTGTGCAGCCCTAAACAGTCAGCGTTGCAAGGCCCTCTGGGTAACTATCCCACAGTTCCCAGTGCAGCTGTCACATCCAGCACCGAACTGGTGCAGACT